TATTGCTCGGGAGCTTATCCAGTCTTGCGTGAAAAATTGGGGGTCTGAATTTTGCCTAAGTTTCTTAAGGGACAGCAACTTAACGCAAACGAAATTACTCACCTTCAACTACAGACACCACATTCGTGTGCATATACAGCTTCTCCGGAATAATGACTATCTTCAGCATCAAATTTCGCAGCCACGTAATACCGTTGGTAACGTCAAAGACAAAATAGTCCATCGATTGATTAACACCCGCTTGTATGTAGAACATTTTCTCTGTATTTATAGCCGACTGATCGAAAACCTTACAATTGTATTCGTCATCGAAAGACATGGATTGCATCTCCAAATAGCCATGCAAGGGCGAAGAGGTAACAAGAAATGTGATATCCCCTGGTGAAATGTTGGGATGAACGACCTAGAGACGGAAAGCAAAAATTGGGTATAGATTGATAAAAAAGCGATAAATAGAGTGAACTGAAAGTACCTCCAGCACGTCGCGTGAGATAAGTACACTCGTAGACTCTTCCACATAAAGCGTTTGATTCTTCTTCACCTGCAGCGGTTCCCAGTAGGCGGAAGGATAAATGCGCATAATCACCTCGCCCTCAGCGGATATATTCTTGATATGGACGCGATAGCTGAAAGGTGGAAAAAATAGGTTTTCCATAGCTTTATAGGCAATATTCCCCAGCTCAAACTACTACTCACCGCACTTTGTCCATGGACGCGATTTCCGTNCAGATTTGTTGCTTTACTCTGCGCTGATGTGGTATCATTGCCATTGGTACTTTTCGATCTACCCAAATACATGAGAATGCCATACGCTGGCGGCTTAATCACCTCATAGTAGATCTCATCTAGTTTCATGTCCAAATTTGTCTCCAAAACAAAGTCTTTATTACGCAGGATCACAAATTTTCCCTCCTGTACGACCGACGCATTTGTTGGCAGCATTGAAACGAAAGGATCAGAGGCGAGTATCTCCAGCAAGCCATTCACTTCATGCTGACGATCGGTTATTATAAATGAGGCTGTGCCCGCATCAGGGCCATTGTGTTGGAAAGCTATGCGCCTATTATTGATATCGTCCTGACTAAATGAATCAATGAAGCTACCCGACTTGTAGAAAGCGCCATTTGTGCTCGAAACGTGTATGAAGAGTATATCCGTGTGATTTGTATTCACATCGGCATCCAAGAACTGCAGCACATCCGGACTGAGCGTGCGATAGCCACCGCGCACCACATGGAAGATGCGCTCCGCCGTGCGGTAGGGTGCATTATCATTGATCAATTTGATGCGCACATCAATGGCAGCGACAAATTGCAAGTCCGTACCATCTGCGGAGAGTATGAGCAGATCAAAAGAGTCCTCTGTGGACTCGGTGTCATCGTGACAATAGTAGACATCATTTAGGAAGAGCTGCTCCAATGTGAATTCGGTTATTGGTATAACTTTAGCCGCCTGCTCATCGTAGCGACAGAGTGTGCCATGTTTGGGCGCTTCCGTTACCGTGAATTGCAGACTCTCGTAAAGGTTGAAGCGTATTTCGAAGTGATTCTTGGTAATGAGGGCGCGCTCACCTTCTTGTACGTGCAACATGTCACGTTTCTGATAGGTAAGTTTATCTGTGTTCGCCTCGAGTGGTGTGAATAGTATCTTCAGTCGGCCCACAACATCATCACACTCCGCAACGGAAACAACGAACTCCAGGTAATCGATAAAACTGGAATAGCTGGTGAGATGAGTTTTGTAGCGTATGCGATTTTTATCAATATCTAGCTGTGTGAAAGAGTCCATTTCCTGTGAGTGGAGGTATAAAGAGTCAGAAATGAATAATGATACTCAAACTTGAATTAATTTACGACGACTTACTTTTGCAAATTTGCGGGAACCTTCAACGTAAATGGCACCATATTTTGTTGGCTTTAAGATTTTGTAAATAATATTTCGTGGAAACGTATCGATCGGTACCGTCTCATAGGTCAGCAAATCACTGGTGAACACGAACTCACGTGTGCCGTTGACTGCAATGGCTGATGGTTTGGCAGAATTGATGCGCAGGCGCGTAAAGGTAATGCGAAAGTCGAATGTTTGTGTAGTTACAAAGCCATAGGATGCAATGAACTGGAAGTATGGAAGGGAAACTTTTTTGTAAATAGAAAAAAATAAAAATATGTGCTTATGAATCGTAAAAAAAATTGCCGATTTATTTCGAGTACCTAAGGAAGTAAGTTCTTAGTTTTTTGACTTTTACTTCAAGAAACCCCGCAACAAGCAAACTTGTAAGATCGTTATAGGATTGGTATATCCTAAAACGAAAAAGTCTCTATAAAACTAAAACAGAAAATCTATGCCGAGTAGGAATAACAGCCAAACTCATTTTTTAAATTTTTTTGTAAAAAAAAATTTCTTTATTGATTTTTTATTTAAATTTTTTTAGAGACTTATACCCCGCTTTTTACGTACTACGTACTCACCTTAAACTCATCCTGCCATGGAAATTCGATAGCATGCACATATCGAATATGCCCAAGCAGCATTTGACTATCACTAAACCAATCGACATTCACCCAAGAAGAATCGACTTGTCGCAGCCTTTGTATAGCGCCATATTGAGGAGGCTTGACAATCTCATACCGAATATCGATATTTTCATCTGCCGTATTTGTGCCAACCGAGAGATTCGCCGGAGTGATGGGCAAAGCTGACTTGTGTATCATAATTAAGCCCGTGTTGTTGACCAAACGCAGTTCCAGTGGATGCACCGATACAGGCAGGTAAACAGTATCGCTCGTTTCGATGCCATCTGAGACATGCAACAATATTTGGTAGCTAAAGGCCTCAGTGGTTGTTGAGTTGTAAAGAAAGCCTACTTTGCCCAAATTGACATCCGCTTGCGAGAAAGTCATAGTGCCTATGCCATTGACAAGGAAACGGCCAAAGGCTTCGGCGGGATTCGTGGAAGGCAGTATTGTATAGATTAAAGCGCTCGTCGGGCTATCGGGGTCATCAATATTGAACAAATCCACATCCAGTACACGCTCGATGCCTTCGATGACGCGCAAAATCTTGTTGATCGGTATCTGTAGCTGTGGCGGATCATTTATGGGCGTTACGTTGGCGTGCAAGAGAAAGCGATGTTTGCCGAGAATATTCTCTGGCACCTTGTGTATGTCACCATACACCTGCATATCTAGAGTGGCATGATCGTTGAAGTTCTCCATGCCATTGTGCGCATATTTCACTTTGTCTGTGGAGAGATCAACGAGGCTAAATGTGCGACACTGCACAAAATTATTTTTCTCCACTGAGAATTGCAGCAGTTGGCCATATTTGGGCTGCTGAACGACGTGGAACACAATGGAAGTATCGGTGAGGCTGGGATATTTACGCATATCAATAAGCACGTCAATGAAATGTGGCGACAAGAATACGATGCCGCCTTCGAGCAGTTGCATGGGTGAAACGTAGAGCAACTCCAACTCCGGACTCGTTTCGGTGAAGATCTGTGTGTCGGTGGGAAGGTGAGCTTTAGGTAAACTAATTTTTTTATATTACTCTTGCTTCGCTTACCTTAAATGGACCTTGATAGTCGGCCTTAATGCAATACGACTGATCGCAATAGCAGATGAATTCGTCCACGCCATACTGATTGCAGATGCCGCTCTTCAAGCATGGCTTATGCTCTACGCAAGGATATTTCCAAACACAATTAACGGACAGATGATGTGAGACCTTCATTTGTGGAAAGCCCAAGTCTTGATTATTCACCTGCAGACCACGCATGCAGCCTTTGAAGCTGAGATCGTTCACAAGCAATCCCTTATTTAGCAGACGCCTGCGCATATCCTCCTGCACACCACCAAAGAAGATGCTCTTCTCCAAGTTGATGGTGGCTTTGGTGTCATTGCCATGCGTGCCGCTGTAGGCGACATCGTCGAGTATCAGCTCAGCCATAGCGGCATTATAGCGCAGCACGATGCGATGCCACTTGCCATCCGCAACACTTTGATTGGGCGAGAGTTGCACGAGACTGCCTGCCTTGTTAAAGGTCAGCTTGACAGCTTCTTCTTCGATTTCCAAAAGCACAAAATCGTAGCCACCATTAAAGAAGAGCACGCCAGCCTCTTCCATGGTGCGAAACTGCATTGCCAGGCTACCAAAAAAAAACAGACGCATATGGAATACTCGTAATGAAATATTTGCAAACAAATCCGAACTTCCACTTACGATTCGCCCGCTGCGTTAGACTCTTTTGACATCAACGCAAATGAGTCTTCATTGAGAAAGCTAATCGCATCCTTGATGTTGCCATCGAATTCATTACTGCACGACCAAGTCACACCAATGCTGGTTGTGTGGCCTGTGCGCTCCTTGGCGCGTTTTATGATATTGATGTTGTTGTAAAATACCTGCGGAATTGAAATAATCTATTAATCGCTTTGGCTCTAGCTAGCCAACGTCGCTATGCACTCACATCTGATATGCAGCCGCGAAAGCCCACCACATCTGTCAAATACTCAGCGGGAAAGTCGCCCACACCGCCGAGGAATGTGCCAAAGTGTACATTCAACGCCGTCATTTCGGCCGGCAGCGTCTTGCGCACTATATTGCCATCCACCTGCAGCGTTATATTATTTTCGTAACGTTGCACGGCGACATCGTGCCACTCTAAATCGTTCAGATGCTGCTTCTTTGGCGAACGGAGCTGCAGAAATGGGTCTCATTTGAAATGGTAGGCACGGAAGGGCACAGCAAATTCATATGCGCTAATCAACTAGCCAACTTACCTGTATGACTTCGCGATCAATTTTATAGGTAAATGTAATGGCGGCGCCTTCTAGCCGCATGAGGCAGTAATCGGTGCGTCCGGCGGCGAGAAAGAGAAATGCATTCTCTTGTTGTGTACGAAATTTGACGCGAATGTTTGTGGACATTTTGGCCTCCTGCAGGGGCATCGTTATGTAGCCATCGCCAAAGAGTGAAACTGAAATGAGAAAAAGAAATAAAGGTCATTAAAAATATGCGTACAAGTTAGTGCTGCTCAGAAAAGTTATGCAATACTGATTCATAGTATTAAACAATGGGGTTTTAACTCCAAATTCTATTCATTCAATTAGAATGGCTATAACGAACTATAGTCTGTCCGATTGTAACTTATGCCTCCGTAGTCTGGTGGCAACAAATTCTGCAAAAAACTGCCGTTTCACTAGTTACCAACTCTACTATCGGTGACAGGATCAATGAGAACGTATTCAACCGCGGCCTTAGAGTCGCTCCTAGCTTGGACTCCATTCCATATTTTTGTCTAAGCAGTAGCGCCTTTAGAACTTGCAAATGCAAAATTCTTGTAGTATTCTTAAAACAACACAAAACAATAAAATATTTTCAGCCAAATACTAGCTCTAGTAATCTGCGAGTTCTCCGGCGCTATGCCAAAGGAAAGCTGCTTGAAAGGAAATTCCAAGTCCAGGCCGAGATGTCTGGTAAAATGGTTTACCTGAGCTAGAGCCTAGATATGTACTCTGGTACAAACATGGATTAAAGATGCAGGGAAAATCAGGCGCGAGTGGCTTTGGACCTTACACCAGACTGTGCCAGACTGAACCTTGAGTAAGCTTTAAAAGGCGACCTTCTAGTTATATTTTCAGACAGCCAGGTGGCTATAAGGGCCCTATCCAATAGAACGATCACCTCAAGGCTTGTCAAGGCGTGCTTTGACACTATACAACTCTTGGCAGCAGGGAACACGGTATTACTATGCTGCGTAACAGGCAACTGTAGGATCGTAGGTAATGAGGCCGCCGACGAATTGAATGGGAATGGCTCATCGTCTGTAATTCAGGCTAGACTTTCTCTACTTTTTGGTTATGCTTTTGCTAAGAAAGATATAAATCTCTTGAACATTCCATGCTCTTAAGGTCAGGAATTCGTCTACCAAAAAACTTTTAGCTTTTATTAGGGATGCTAATAACAACTTGGACCGTCAGGGTTAGGAACCATCATAGGGATACAAATGATCTTCTAGGTCGCGGTGTCCCTTGTTTCTGATGACTCTTTCATGAGATATAAATAAAGTGCAAAATTATGTCCTACGGAACAACAACGTGTAACTAATGCTCCAACTTTTGGAGTAATTAACGAATTGGTGGAGCTTACTATGAAAAAACCAAGTACGCAGTTTTATTATAATTTTTTTTTTGTGTAAATTTACTGTCGCAAGTGAATTTCCCTACCTAAAATGTATACTATTTTGAAAGAAAATACGTACTAAATAATTGTATTTTTTTTTTCTTGTCAATTTGAGCTGCAATACGCAACATGCCACATCAATATTTTTTCCAACCAAGATTAGTATAAATCATCCCTAATCCGTAGTTTTCACGCATTGCAGCGAAATTTCGCAACTTTTGCTACAGCTGCGTGCTACTTTCTACAACAGACGCTTTTATAGGCATGAAACGAGTAGCACAATATTTACTGTAACTGCATCAACAAAAGTGGCATGAAACAGCTGCACGCATGCAACATCACTTCAAAATGCCACATTTTTAAACGAGGGAGTAAATAAACAAAGAAAAAAGTCAAGAGTGCTGTGCTTGTGAAAACAAAGAGTTTATGAAAATGAGTGCAATCGTTTGTTTTGATTGTTTACGCGAGTAATTAGCAGCCTTTCAAGCAAAAATCACTTCCTTGCAACTTCAGATTGGAAATTTTGTAAGTGCTCTCAAAATATTGGGTATGAATTAGGTATACATATAGCTTGCGGGCAAATCATAACTAAATATGTATTCAAGACAATTTCTATTTTAGAACTAGTACGACTAGTACGTAATCAGCAGGATCTTATCGGATGCGTGGTTGCCCATCTATTCAGCATCTTTACCAGACGACACTGTCACCGTACGCCATTCACGGTGGGTGCACACCAATAATTAGGCCGATTATAGCTTCTGGAGTTCTAGTGTGGTGCAAAGAGCTGTATAAAAGTAGCAATCAGGCAAGTACGAGCATGCAGCGATATTGCGTGACTTCTGATTCCAGATTCTTATACGCTGATAGTTCAATTATGAAGAAAGAAGTGGGCGCGCATTTCTATTCATAGTACCAGCGGATCAGCCAATAAAAATGCCTGGCTGGCGTTACTAAATTGTCTTTCAGGTGGGGGCCTTTGCCAAAAAGAAAGCTATGGAAGCATTTGGATCCCAATTAGTGAAGTCACCTCAACACCGATTGGTTCCGGGGCCTAGCAGTATCGAGTGAAGCGGAATAGCCAATGAGATGGCTATACGCGTAACAAAAATGTAGATCAGCGGGACGAGTAACTACAGCCGTCGCGTGTGGAGTACATCACAGCCGCATCGAATGTCCTATGGAGCAACCGTGGCGACTGAATGATCACAAGGTCTTTATGGCCGAATTTTAACAAAAACGGAACCACATAAATACTGTGCTATTGCATCAATACTAAAACGCAGCTGTATACCAGTTCCAGACAGCCAGTAGCTTCGGGAGGCTGAGTGTATACCAACAATTCGTCTCCGCAGAAGATGTTGGGATGAGGTAAGTGGGCAATCGATACAGCATTTCGTGCATCAACGTTTATTTCTCCAGGCAAGGCGACGGAATCACTTGGGATCTTCCTTTTTCACCAGCTTCGTAGATATGTTGTTATGTTAAAGTTAAGGTCAGGGTTCTTAATCGAAGAAAAGTAGGAATATGGAAAATGAAAAACAGCTACCTACATATGTATATCTTTATATATCATTTATCGTTGTACAAACAAGAACAAAATCGATAGTAACATCCAATAAAATATCGACAACCAAACCGATAAAGATATCGATAACAAAATCGATGAAAAATTCGATAAAAATTTCGATAGCAAAACCCATAATAATATTAGTAGCAAGATCGATTAGAAACTCGATAAAAATATCCATAACAAAATCGATAAAAATACCCATAAAAAATCGACCAAATATCGATAAAAAATCGATAAAAATATCCATAACAAAATCGATAAATATCGATAACAAGATCGATAAATATCTATAACAAAATCGATAAATATCGATAACAAGATCGATAAATATCTATAACAAAATCGATAAATATCGATAACAAAATCTATAAATATTGATAACAAAATCGATAAATATCGATAACAAAATCGATAAAAAATATCGCTAAAAAATAGTTAAAAATATCGATTACAAAATCGACAAAAATATGGATAACACAGTCGATGAAAATTTTGATTGTTATATCGATAAGTTCCGAAGATATCGATAGCAAAATTGATAACAATATCGTTATAAATTTCGATAAAAAATCGATAAAAATGTCGATAACGAAACCGATTAAAATATCGATTATTTTATCGATAAGTCCCGAGAATCCCGAAAATCTCTAAAATCCCAAAATAGTTCCCAGATTGAGTCTCTGTGTCTCTCTCTATATCCTTTCCCCATTAATTACCTTTATTTTAATCTTTCGTCCCCTCTTTTCATCTTTACTTTTATCGGTATCCTCATCCCCCTCTTTGTCTTTACTTTTATATTTATCGTTTTCTTCATCTACATATTCCCCTTCACATTTGCCCTTATATATATAAGTGAAGTGTTTAAATTTACCTTTGGTTTTAATTTTTGCCTTTAACTTTACGCATCTTTGTTTCTGTTTTTATTTTTACCTTTGCCTTTATCCTTTTCTTTATCTATGTACGTAGTCCCCTTTACTTTCATTCTTGTATTGGCCCTTTTCTAAGTATTATTCTGTAACATTTTATTAGCAAGTTTTTGTTAAATAAATACCATGTGCATACGCACAAGAAGCACTTGTTTCAGCCCCAACCATTTCCGTTGCACCATTTGCGTTGAATTTGCCAATTTACTCCCAACCAAGCAACCGCCGCTAAAGAAGTTTCATTTCAAAAATAACAAAGGGTAAAGATCATAGGATACTTTCCGGAGGTACGACAATATAGGGAATCGAGGATATTACATTGATTAGGACCCCGCACTTATTACTTAAATAATAATTGAACCACTGGAACCAACATGGCTAACTTACGCAATAAAATGCAATGGGATAATTTGTCGTAAACTTTGGAGAAATCAGTGGATATACAATCAACTTGAAACACAGATAAAAACGTATTCACTAAAGACCGCTAGGTTGGTAAGCGTAGAACGTCCAGCAACAAAGCCATGCCGGCGAGGTAAAATTAAACTTTAAACGGCAAAATAAATTTCCTCCTTAACTGTACTCTCGAAAAGTTCAGAAATTGTTGACAGCTTGGAGATTGGCCTATAGTTAGTAACGCCATTCGTTTTGCTGGGAATTTTTTCAGAAGGGTGGCACAAAGGCGGTAAGACTTAAGTAGCTAAAGTATAGTGCTGAAGGTTGGCTATTGCTGATTAGATTTGTGTTCATTTGTGCTGCTTCTGAATTCGTCTGGGTTTACGCGTGACGGTTTACACAAACTTTGCCCATACCGGGAGCAAAGTTGTTTACACATTAAGAAACTTTTTTTTCGAAGATTTGAAGCGATGATCTCCTGATTGAAATGCCATTGGTTTCCTTATCAGTTAATGTGGCCATAAAATGTATGCACAGCGTACACGTTCTGAACAATCGAAATGTGGGTTCCAAAGAGTTCAATGACCACCCTAATCGGCATCGCGCGATCCAAATCAGCTGCTGCTAGTACTAATGTGAACTAGTTATGATTCTAAATTCCGCAGTACTGCACAGTTCGGTACTAGTTCAGTCCTTTAAAGGGTTCGAATCATAACCTACGTACATTAGGTCATATATTTGTAAGCGCCGTGGATGCATTTATTTTTTGTTTATTTTATTACATTTTCTGGAGTATCCAATTGAAAAAGATTATCTGATACTTGTTTGAAAAAATTTAGCTGCTCAAAATAGTGCACATAAACGAATCTTAAATATTGTGGCATAGCAGCAGCGGCTCCAAAC